CTCTCCTTATGCCAAACATAGCGGTATACCGGAAATCAAAACTGTTCTCGGTGGGTTCGTTATCCGGCATTTCCTAGGCGGCTGGACGCTAGTCACAAAGACAATTGGCTTGGTAAGTAGCCTCGTAAGAAACAACTTCTGGATCGCTAGCTAACTTGGCCAGTGTCTTGCAGTCGCATCAGGTCTGTGGCTGGGCAAGGAAGGTCCCTTGGTACATGTAGCATGCTGCTCGGCGAACCTCTTCATGAAGCTGTTTAGTAGCGTAAACGGCAATGAAGGTTAGTAATTTTACGCTCGTTACTAGTGACAATCCATTGATTTGAGTAGCACGGAAACGAGAGGTGCTCTCGGCTGCGGCTGCAGCAGGTATTTCAGTCGCCTTTGGTGCACCTATAGGCGGTGTACTCTTCAGCCTGGAACAGCTGTCGTACTACTTTCCAGACAAGACCATGTGGAGCAGTTTTGTATGCGCCATGGTAGCAGCCGTCACTCTACAAGCATGCAACCCCTTCCGCACTGGCAAGCTTGTCTTATATCAGGTCACTTATCATAGTGGGTGGCACGACTTTGAGCTCTTACCCTTCATCTTTCTCGGAATTTTGGGCGGTCTTTTTGGAGGCTTGTTCATCAAGCTTAACATGGGCGTTGCGGAGTGGCGAAAGAACAGACAATACCTCAAAGGCCCTGTGAGGGAAGTTGTCATGGTGGCATTCGTAACGGCCCTGATCAACTTTCCCATCAAGTTCATGCGCGCCCAAGCTTCCGAACTAGTGCATATTCTTTTCGCTGAATGTGCTGATCTCACCGAAGATACGCTGGGCCTCTGCAAATCTGGCAAAGCCAACACTGGAGTAATTGCTTTGTTACTCGTGTCTTCGGGACTGGGCATCATACTAGCAGGCTTCACATTCGGTCTGCAGATTCCAGCGGGTATCATCCTTCCTTCCATGGCCATTGGCGGTCTTTTTGGTCGTGCAGTGGGACTATCCGTGCAGGTGGTCCAGGCTGCTTGGCCGTCCCTCTTCTTCTTCAGCTCCTGCGAACCTGATGTACCTTGCGTGACCCCAGGAACGTACGCTATTATTGGAGCAGCATCGGCGCTTGCGGGCACCACACGTATGACCGTTTCGATTGTGGTCATCATGTTTGAGCTGACTGGGGCGCTCACGTATGTTCTACCCATTATGATTGCAGTCATGATCAGTAAATGGACTGGTGACGCCATCTCCCCACGGGGCATCTATGAGTCGTGGATACACTTTAAAGGGTACCCTTTCCTCGACAATCGCGACGACAACGGTAGCTCGATTCCAGATGTCAGCGCAAGCCATGTCATGACACGCATCGAAGACTTGACGGCCATAACGGCAACCGGACACACTATTGGGTCACTGCGTGGGCTTTTGTCTCAACATCGGTTCCGCGGGTTTCCCGTCATCGACAACAGCCGCGATGCCCTCTTGCTTGGGTACATATCAAGAACTGAGCTACAATACGCGCTTCAGACTGCCCTGACGCCTCCTCGGAACCTAGCGCCTGAAACGGAAGCTTACTTTGCCCACCAACCCCTCTCCGACCCCACGACTTCCCTTGATCTCCGGCCGTGGATGGACCAAACGCCCATGACACTAAATGCCAAAGCCAGCTTTCAGCTTACGGTATCCATGTTCCAGAAGCTGGGGTTGCGATATGTCTTGTTCACGGATCGAGGCACACTCAAAGGGTTGCTTACCAAGAAGGATGTCTGGTACGTCATGGAAGGCATGGAGGAAGAGCGTGAAGACGACGGTAGAGGGGGGCTCGGAGGGGAGAGACAAGAGGATGAAGAGGATGAGCAGAGTGACCTACTGGGCACGGCGGAGGACGAGCACGCAGGCTTGATTGGTGACCATGGTAGATAGGGAGCAGAAACTGAGACTTGACACCGTGTCTAGCACCTTCTATGCCGGTGGGCTTGAAGAAAAAAAAGGTCTCGATCTCTGTTGGATCGTCATGTGATGATATCACCGCATGTCGCGCATGCGGTGTACTGTAGGCCACGCCAGTGGGGGATTGCTCGTTTGGCAGGTCGGCCGTTGATCAGGGCCACGGGGAGGGCTTCCCGCCAGGAACGCAAGGCAAATCAACAAGCGAAGCTCTCACCGACAGTGACGCTACGACCAAAGCATACTGTCGGCCTCGGACTTGGTGCGACGTGTCGTCCGGCTCTTGAGAAGTGCAGAGAGTGGAGTGGATACAATGCAGTGCCAGCTGCATGGCGTGGTCTGTGCAGCGCAAGACTCGGCCGGCCAATCACAGGCGAGAGGGTGGGTGTGGCCGTAAGAGGCTTAGCGCTATGGCGGTGCCGCGGCTTGCTGCTTGGACCTGCATCCACCCGCCCTTAACATCCGGCCTCGCCCATCCAGACTCCAGAGCCTTCTCTCCCCGCCCCCCCGTCTGTGACTCGGCCTTTGTTTGTCCCAGTACACCACCCCAGATCCCCTTACACTCGTTTCACCGTCAAAGAACAAACATCGACACCCGCCATGGATGCCTTGATCGTCTAACGTCAAAGAAGCACGGAGCGGCTATGACTAGGCCTTGGCATACGTCGCGATCCGGCAGACGACGTGAATCGCGCTGAAAGAACACCAACGCTTGCACGCGATAGCGGCGCCTCGCCAATCATCTTTGCCAGATCTACACCATAACAACTCTTCCCACCACGCCCACACCATGGCCCACGCGACCGACCCAGAGCGCAGGAGCAGAAGGAAGCATTCGCATTCGTCATCCAGGGCTTCGAGGACGCGCTCCTCGTCCAAGAAGCCTCATGTTTCGCCTCCCGTGCCAGACATGTATTTGCAAGACCATGCACCACCGGTCCAGGCTACCCCTCATAGCCAGCCCCAGTACATACCACATCAGCGCTCATATTCCCAATCTACTGTCACATCCCCACCCCTATACCACAGCTATTCTGCGAGCCCGCCTGAACGCTCGGATTACGGTCAAATGCCCGGGGCTTATCCTCAAGATGTGCCGCGGTATTGGTCTCCTCCGCCCCAGCCTGTTCAGCCTTATGCCAGCCAATCCACTATCCGCTTTGCTTCCCCACCACCTCCTGAGTCACGCGGTCAGGGTCCTTTTCAGCAGCAATGGGATAGTCTTGACCGCATGGCTACGAGGTCTTTTACCAATTTGCGTGACACGGCTGGAAAGGGGATGAACAAGCTGACTACCAACTGCATCGAGCGGCCCACGGCTGCTGTCGCCACCAAGAGTATGCAGACTCTGTGCCGTGGGGCAGCGTTATACGACGTCATTACTTCAAAGTTCGATTCTGTTATTACTAGCATCGATGACGAACAGTTCAGCGGTAAAGAGCAAGATTTGATGATGGAGTTTGGCGACCAGATGGACTATGAGGAGCCCGTGAAAACGAGCCCGCCGCTTGGCGGAGGTAGACGTCATGGTCGGGAAGAGGTTTCTCCCAAGCCTGGTAGTGACAAAGGATCAAACCATTTCTCAAAAGTATGGCTCTACTCCAACTCACGCTTGCCACCGCATTTACCCCCTTTTAAAGTGTATCTCCCGACGTATCCCTTGTTGTGCTTGGCGGCAACGTACTCTGAAAAGGCGTACCTACCTCCCGGTACCAAGAAGAGTTCTGAAATGGAGACACACATCCCTGCCGACTGGCGTAGCGGCACCAAAGCCATGGTCCTAAAATCTATACCTGTCGAAGAGCTGAACACGATCGTGTTTGCTATTCGCGGAAGTCAGACATTCATGGACTGGGCCGTGAACTACAACTCTGCGCCAAGCAGTCCGGCCAAGTTTCTCGATGACCCAGGAAACTTGTGCCATGCGGGCTTCCTCTATGTCGCAAAAAAGATGATCAAGCCAGTCGCAGAGCGGCTCAAAGTTTTGCTACAAGAGAACCCTGCGCGCTCTAATTGTAGTTTGCTCATCACCGGCCACTCCGCAGGCGGAGCGGTCGCCGCGTTGCTATACGCGCACATGATGAGCACCAAGGTTGAGTCTGAACTCAGCTACCTCACCAGCTTCTTCAAGCGGGTGCACTGCATCACTTTTGGTGCGCCGCCAGTCAGTCTGCGGCCGCTCAAGAAGCCCGAAGACAAGCGGCACCGAAAGAGTCTTTTCTACAGCTTCATCAACGAAGGTGACCCTATACCGAGAGCTGATAAGAGCGTGCTCCGAAGCCTGCTCAAGCTGTATGCCAGTCCTGCACCCACCACGGCCTCGAGCTCTGGTTCTGCAACGGCGTCGTCGTCTAGGACCAATGTCTCGCGCTCACATTCTTCATCCCCGCCAAAATCCAGATCCAAACATGGCTTTGCTGCACGACTCTCAAGAGGATCGAAAATCTCGTTGGAAACAAACAACACTCAATCGTCTTCGTCATCTTCACTGCCCGCTTGGCCAATCCCGCCCTGCACCTTGTCGCCTGCCGGCCGACTGGTCGTATTGCGGCAGAGAGTAGGGACTAAGAGCGAGGACGACGTCGAAGCTGTGACGGTGGACGATGAGATGCTGAGGAAAGTTGTATATGGAGATTTGCTCAAGCACCAGATGACGACTTACAAGAAGCGCATCGAGGGTGTTGCTGTTCGCGCCGTTACCGCAAACGGTGTTTGATGAGACTGCCAAAAACTTTTCTTGACGAATTTGTATGCCTCACGACTTACATGATTACGAATCTTTTTAGAAAAGAAAATGAAAAACATATCCGAGTCTACTCGTCTCAAATCTCCTTTTGAACAGGATACGTGATTGGAGTCATAACCGCTGTATTCATTTCTCCTCGTAGGCAACATGCAAAGTGACCATTCTCCTTGTTCACACAGTGATTTCTCCAGAAAAAAAATGAGTCATTTTTGCAACATCAACTCTGATCATGCAGGTATATTCATAACCCCAGAAAAAAAGAATCAACATTGGTATAGTACTAGATCTATATCCCTAGCCTGGAAAAAGGGACGCCTCTCCTGCAGCATCTATGCCATGATCAAATCATACGCCGATTTAGCACTCATAAGCACCAAAACATAATGGGCCATGATACCCGCAGCACCGTAATACCTGCCCTTACCCCCACTCTCCGCACTCCTGGTATACCCCACCGAGTAAAACACGCGATTAACACTCCACGCAAGCCCGAGCGCGGCCGTCGCCATTGGGAATCTCAGGCCGGAAACGAGCATAGCAGCGAGAGCGGTAGGATGGTTTTCGCCAAAGTTCTGGTGAGCGCGCTGAGCGGCGTTGAAGGCGAGCATGGCGGATTTGGAGGCTGGGGAGGCGGTTTGGACTTGTTCGTACGACGCGTATTCGAAGGGGTACGGGATCTTTGCTGCTTTGCGGAAGGAGCCTACGCGCGCGCCGAGCCAGATGCCGATGAAGAAGGTGGAGACGGCGGCGCCGAGGACGTAGCTGGGGCGTGAGGGTTAGCTGGTGGGAGAGGCGAGGGTTGATGGATGGGCTTGTTGTTGGTGGTGTGGGAGTTGGGGAGATAAGGGGGGGTGAGAGGGGAGGCAATTGGATGATGAGTACGTACCCGTACTCGTCTGGAACCTGGATAATGGCCATGATGTCTGTTGGTGTTGTTGTTGGTGGTGTTGATGTATCTCTTCACGTTCGTCTATTCGCTGCGTAGTCGAGAGTTGCCCTTTCCAAATCTTCGTAAGGGAAAAAAAATCGTGGACAATCAACGTTAGGTAGCCAATTCAGCCCTTCTTATACGTCTCTTTTAGTTTTTTTTTTGGAGGCGTTGGATCGATGTGGAAATCGGTGGAATGTTGTTGCTTTGAAAGCAAAGGGGGTGGGAAAGCTACCACCTGTTCAGTAGTCGTGTTACGCGGACCAGTTTCGGTGGGGCTGCGGGCGCTGGTTTCCCCCGACTCCATGCTAAACAGCAAGACTCCATCATGCGTTCGGTGCAACATTCTTGCCGATTGCTACCATACAGCTATGCTGCGGAAAAACATCGTAGTACAGTGTTCTGTATTGTTGGGGTTACATATGGTTTACAGCGTTATGTGCTGTGTGGCTGGACGGATAGGGTGTGTTTGCAGTGCCCGTCGGACAGAAAGTGTTCCCATTGCGAATTCAGGCGGCCAAGCAGCGTCGAGGGTTGCGAGATCGTGTCACCAGGCGATTTCCTTACATCATCCAACCGCCTTGTTGTAAGGATATGATCTGTTCAGGGTGTTCAAGGGTGTCTTGTAGTAGAAAGTGGTTGATGCAGGTGAGTAGTAGGTGACATTTGGAGAAAAAACGAACAAGAAGAATGGCGATTTTTAGGGTTAAGTTAAGCTCAAAGACAAGACCGAGCATTGACTGCGGGTGGATATCGTGATTCCTCGGCAATATGACGACAGCTTTGCTGACCGATAACGTGATGACATTAGAACAGACAATTCCGGACTTGTTCTCTTTGGTGTGTCATAGATGTATTCATTCGAAGCAGGCTAACCATCTACTCTGCTTGATCAAACAAGCTTGTTCTTTTCCAGGACGGCATGCGAAGCTTTCGTACATAGTATGATCCATGTGTTAAGCTTTCACCACAGATGACCCCATCTTCTCATCCTCGACTACCTGTGATCCCCGACTCTTCTAGTGCCTCCATAGTACCTTGGAAATCCTGTCGCTCGTCAGCTTCTATTCCACCTAGGATACTGCTCACCCCAGAAAGTGTACTTACAGGTAGTGCAGCAAGCAAACACATCAAATTTCCTGTGACAAAGATTGCCCATGAGGCAGACGCCTGAACGACTAGCAGTTTCGTATACTTCCACAGCGTCCCCCTCAAAACACAAGTGTACATGTGAGTAACCGCGATTGGTAAGGCGAGGACCGTCTGCGCAATGTATCGACACCTGGAGAGAAGCTTCAAGAAGCCAGGGCTGTAGTTGATATCTTGAGCCCGACTCTTGGGCGACTTGACGTGTAGTTGAAAGCCTCGAATGATGCATAGAAGAATAACGGCAGCTGTGATGTTGAGAGGTGTATGGTAGCGAAGTACAGCAGAGCACTTAATCCCCCTGTCAAGCAAGCGGCTACACCGTCGCTTCATATTCTTGTTTGTCATGGAAAAAGAAGCTATCCATCGCGCTATCTGTGCGATACCCTGCGAAGTCATGTACTGCACACAGAAGAAGAGTGCAGAGTGGAGCATAGCTTTGGTAGCGACAGTTACAGGGGAATGACGGGTGTCGCGAACGAGTTTGTCTAGGAATTCAGTTGCTGAATTCCCACCCCTGCCATCAACGATCTCGCAATGGTATGTCTGGCGAGTTCGTCTGCCGATCCAGAAGCGAAACGTGTCGTAGACTACAGAGCAAACGGAGACCAGGAGTAGAGACAAAAGAGTATCGTTGATGATTGTAGTAAAATTCAGTGTGATGTACAAGGCAGGCTCTAAGATGAGGTTAGTTGACTGTAGATTACGAAGCAAAGCGTATAAATGTACTTTCTTGCCATAGCTCACTCCACACCGATCGCGTGGGAGAATGATCCTGAGCCATGTCGAGTGTGAGAATCAGGAAGGAACAGGGTGGATAGAGATCGTGGAGAGTGCAGGGTTGGCTAAGTCGATGATTTTTATGTTCGTTTGGAAAAGTGAAGCAGAGGAGGTTCTAACTCCTTTCACTTTCACCAGTCTATTCTCGCTCATACATGCAAAAGTGAAACCTGACACCCTGCTCCTCAATCCCACCCTCCTCAACGTTCTCACCGGTGAACTCTTGAATCTCGCCCCGGTCTGCATTCCTCCATACTGTTGTCTCATCTAAATTAACAGGAAAGAAAGTATCGCACTCAAACTCCTTCTCGATCTTAGTAAGCAACACACGCTTCGTTTGCGGAAGTTCAAGCGCCGTTCGGTATATGCTAGCCCCACCAATAACAAAGATTCTATCAATCTCGAGGTCTGTAGACGGTAAGTTGCTCTTGTCCTCGCGCTCAAGCTGAGCAATGGCGTCGAGGATACCAGAGCACACAAGCGGGCCTTCGACTTCTGTCTTCTTGTCTAGCTTGTTTGCAAATTCTTCTGGCTTCGAGGTGATGACTATGTTGAGGCGATCCTTGAGAGGCCGGAATTTGGGCGGTATGCTTTCCCATGTCTTGCGGCCCATGAGTACGGCATTGATTTTCCTGCGCCCTTCCACTGAGGCAGAGGGCGACGTACGCTTCGTCACTCGTGCGAAGAAGCCCATTTCCTTTTTGAGTTGGGGCCACGGCAAGACGCCATCCTTTCCTATGCCGAGACTCGGCGTGGCAGCAAGTATCAAAGTGAGTGTTGGGGGTTTAGGTGGCATAGAAGATGATGCGTCTTGTTCCTGGGTGGCTGAATTTTTCTTTGATGTAGTTGATGTGTCCAAATTGACGGAAGGATGCTCGTTAGACATTGCGTGGCGTCTTTCTAGAACCAAGACGACTCTAGAGTATCAGAAACAATTGAATGTAGCTTCGAGACGAAAAATAAGCGGAAGGCATAGACGTGGGTCGTGATATCGACGTGAAAGACATGCGGGGCCAAACGCGCTAAGTGACGCGAAGGAACGTGACTTTCAACGTCAGTCCTACCTGCCAAACATACCGTCTAGACATAGCCAGCCATGCTCACAGAAACAGAACCATAGAAGAACATGAAGTGACTTCGATAACGAGTTGGCATTCCCGAACGAAGACTACTAGATATAAAATACACAGGCCGGATGATGCCCTTGATCATGCACAGAAAACCCAAACACCCAAACGCACGGTGATAGGCCCGACACACAGCGCTGCATCATCCCATCATGCCACAGTCCCAACCCGTCTCGCTCGCCGGGAAGGGCGACGATACTGAACGCCTAGATAATTACACCTTTCGCAATGCCGCTACCCTATTGAAACACATTTGCAAGAAGAAGCCAAAAAATCCCGCACGCACCCATTTCATACAACGTCATCTGTGTCTCCTCGAGTTTCCAAATGGGTATCTTTTTAGGATTGTTTAAAGCGCATCGCGCTGCAAAGATGAGAAGCCTTTCCTTCTCCCTTGCAGCTCATCTTCGTCTAAGAGCGGGGGCGTGCGATACTATTCGCCCGCGCCTCCCTCACCACTACTTTTCAGTGGAATGGACAACGAGATCTTCTTTGGTGTTCCACCACCATCCTTGCCGGCATTGACATTGGGCGACTTCCGGCGCAAGTTCCGCAGGCTTCCTGAGCTTGCGTTGCTTGATGTTGAAGCACGGCGCTTTGGACCTGCAGATGTGGAGATGCTTGCAAGAAGCTCATCCTCCTCATCCTCTTCTCTACGGCGCTTTTCGGATATACGTTCCGGCGGCGATCCTGCAGAAGCAGAGTTTGGTGATGGAGTGGTTTCTGGGGTTTGCGTCTCTGCTGAAATCTTGTGCACAGAGGCCGGCAGCCCGGTAGTGAGATCATCCATATCGGCATCGTCGGCGTCGTCATCCGGGTAATTAACGAGGGGGCGCACCGGCGATGCTCCATTGAGGGCGATTTTGCCAGTAGTGGCAAGTTGTTCATCCTCATCGTCTGATGTGTTGAAGTATGCTTCCTCGTCCGCATCTACGTCCTTCAAGCCTTGACCCCACTTGCCACCATTGACATTTGCGGGATGTCGCGCAGGTGTGTCACTGTCCACACTTGTGAATGAATTGTCGAGCTCCTGAGTAGTGACTGGCTCATGGTTCTGGTCATACTTGAGGATCAGATTTTGGAATGTGTCGACATAGGTGACAGCTTGTAATCTCTCCCTGTACGTCTCGACCAGATGCTGAACAATCATCTTGATGTTTTCGCGCCTGATGAATTCAAACAACTCCAGGCATGCCGAGTTGAGGAGATTGTCGCGAGGCATCGTATCGAATAGGATCTGCAAGATGGGCTCGAAAAGGTGGTGTTGGATGATTTGGCGGTTATGTGTTTCGTCGTGGAAACCGAGAACAGTGCGGAAGTACTTGAGCGCAGCTGGGACAAGTCAGTAAACAAGACAGAAACAATCGTGGAAGATGCCTACTAAGTTTCAAATGCTTCTCCGGACAGGCCATAAGTTGTGCTACCCGCATTGCGAGGCCTTCGGATAGAATGAAGTATTTGCTGCGGAAAGAATGTTGACGGATGAAGAAACAAAGGACCTCGACCAGGTGGGCGTATAATGACACTTCTTGCATTGATAGATCTTCCACTGAACAATGTTAGCCATCTTCGCCTACAGGGACCAAGAGTTCAACTTACTAGACTCGCGGCCTTCGAGATCTTTGAGAGGCTGGAAGAGTTTCCGTGCAGACTCGTCGTAGAAATTTTGAATAAAAGAGTCAGTTTGCGGTATGGACGGAAGTTGACCCCTCATCTTAGCAAGGAAGTCACTGTTAGTTCGCCCAAGCGCCTCTATAGACGCCGAGTTGGCATTGGGGTCTAGCAGAATCTTAATCGCATCTGCCATCTGCGCCTTGACTCCCAAGTCCACTTCAATCAGAAGTAACTCAATCAGGGTATCGGTAAGTGGCTTGGTCTTTTCCTGAATGGCCTTGAAAATGTAGCTGCGCACCATGAGAGCATCGTGATCGATCAAAGACACAAGTATGTCTGTGCCTGCTACTCGAACTGAAGCATCTTGGTGTTTGAGCGCAAACTGTATGACTTCCAACAGGCCACCACTAATGAAGTTTTGATAAAGCTGCGCCCTAACATTTGCCTGCAGGCTCTTTGCTATGGCGCAACACTGCTGAATGAACAAGACTGCATCCTTTTTTCTCGAGAGATTCTGCTCCTTGGGCGAGAAGATGCCAAAAAGCTCTTTCAAAAAGGGGCCGTTTGCTTGAAGGTGCTGGACAATGTCGACTTGGTGGAAGAAGATGAGGGAGTTGAGAACGCTAAAGGTGGGGTCGTCGAGGATGCGTGCAAGCACCACGTCTTTGAGGTACTGTAGGCGATAAGTGTAATGAATTTTCCGCTTGATATTCTCGTCTTCAATCTTGACAACCTCTTTGAATTTGGATTCGTCGTCGAGGTATTGTCGGTGGTTCGCTTTGTGCAAGGGAAAATCCGGGTCGTCTGCAAGAAGTCAGCAAGCATTGAGGCAAGGTTGTCTGTGGCAACACTAACATTCTAGAGCTCCAACAACTCCCAGGACAACGGGGTCTGTCACTACGTATTCGATAATGGCAGTGTCGTTGAGTAGGATGAGCATCTTCATGATGCTGCATAGCCGGTGGAGATCCGATACGCTTTCGAGGTCTTCGGCCATGTCGACAAGCGGAATCAGTTTCGGTATGTAATCCTGAGCAAGGATGAATTTGGCGAGGGCTTCTCGACCTCCTGGGGTAGAGTTTGCAGCGCGCATATGGTTTTCAATCTCGTGAAGGTTGCCGAGATCTGGGTTTGGGAGAAGTATGGGATTAATATGGTCCAAATCGTCTGAAAGACCATCGTCTGGGTCAGCATTAGCCTGCTTGAAGCTATGTGGATGGATCCAACGTACCCTGCGCTAAAGTCTGCAATCGCGATTGCACTTCGTTGACAAAGTCCCTGTATGGAGTCAGCGCGGTGCTCAATTGACCGAGGCAGTGGATGCCTACCATATGCTGGCACAGCCCTCGGGCTCCTGAAAACTGAGGGCCATGTCGGTGCCATTTTGCTCAGTCCATACGATGAGGGTATCTGTGGCGGATTAGCTGCCGGCTTGTGTTTGGGTAGCGCATAGCACGCGCATACCTTGCTGTTTCTGATAGCCATCATCCTTGGAGATGCGCGTTTCGAGGAGCTGTCGCGACTGGTCGTCTTCGGACAAGACTACAATCCTTGCTTCCTCCTGCTGTCGAGTGACGCCAGTTAGCATGTGTGAGCGGCAGACATGGGCGTGAGCGTAGGCGTGGACACGAGCGCAGGCGCGGGCGCAATGGGGCTACACGTGTAGCAAGGAGGTGTTGTGGCGAGGGGTGGGGAGACGTACATTTGCTACAACACCCTTGCAGAAGCCGGTGCCTCTGTCGAACCAGTCATTGTTCTTGAGCTCGTAGACTTTGACGCGCTTCCGTTCGCTCGCCGGTGGTGGTGCGACGGTTGCCATAGCCGGGGGCGGCGTGTCGACAGTCTCCGGCTAGGGCAGAGGACCCTCCGGAGGGACAGCGCGCTGTTGCGATGGCTTGCGCAGGAGAGCGGGGGAGCGTCGGCGATGGGGGGAGATGGGGGGCGGCGTGGTGTTGTGGTGGATGCGGTGCTGGCAGATGCGGGTTAGGAGGCTCGGCGGCGCTTGTAGGCTGGCGCAGCGGCGCGGCAGCGGGGACGCGACAGACGAACACTCGACGATGGGCCAGCGTGGGCGCGCAACAGTAAGCCGGGGAGTCTGCGATGGCGGCGTGACAGGCAAGGTGATCAGCCTCGGACACTTTTGCAGGCGCGTCGTGGGTCGCAAAGTGGAAGCGGGAGAGCACAGGGCCGGGCTTGGGCACAGTGCATGCACTAAGATAAGAGCCTAGACCCGAGTGGCGGCACCAGAGCCTCAACACCACGCTGAACCCTGGGGATAGCGGCGATGGCTGCGTGGGCGAGGGCACGAGGCGGCGGCGGGTTGCGGGGGGTGCTTTTGCAGCTGTCCGGCGCTGCGAGCGTGTGGAATGAGTGCAGCTGTCGCCGCCCATGGCCAGATGCGCGCTCGCCTCACTGACGCAATGCCCTTGGCACTGCTGCTCATCAACACCACGCAGTGCTCGTTCATCTCGTTGTACCTACACAGGTCCATGTACATGTATATACATGGTAGTGTACATGGTATGGACAGCGCCCGCCTGTCGCTTGTCACGTCGTTGCATCCACTCACCCACGCGCCCACGCACTGTGCGTACCGTCGTGTGCTGCCGACAGCAAGAGCAACAGCAGCGGAGCAGCCACCAAAGGAGACAGTCCGTGTATGATCCGGTCACTCCGCTCCTCATGCCCATCCACTCTCGCAGCTCGCGCGATTGCAACTCACCTCACCACCATCCAATACTCGCACGCCGCCCCCAGATTCCCCTGGGATATTGTCATGACGTCCCCGGCCAAGCCACGCGATCGACTCGCCCGGCCCGCTCTGCATGGACGCAGTGCTGCAAGGCTGTGGTCCCGTCGAGATGCAGGTATTATACGGCGTACACATCTACTTCGATAGTACTGCTAATATAGCCGCAAAAGCATCGTCATTATCAAACATTGTCCAAAACACCCTGGACGAGCTGGAGCCACCTGGCCTGCCGCACTGCCAAAAGCACGTGTGCACCCATCCATGTATTGGCAAGCCATGCACCTAGTACACATGTACTCAAGTACGTACCTACGTAGCCATGTACACATGCAGTACATACAGTCTATACCTACTACATGGCGACTCGCCACCAAAAGCACAAGTGCCATCGCTATTACCCCGGCTGGCGTCATGGCGAGCCCGGCCTAGAGTAGCCAAACGCTTCCCCATACATACCACGTACATGCGCCATGTCCATCTCGCCAGCCTCTGGACTACTAAGGGCCAGCCCGAGCACGACGGATACTATGGATTCTGTTCGTTTTGGTCCGTCTGGAGCCTCGTCGTACAGAATTAGGCCGTAGGCGCGTGGGGGCAGCCAATGGCCAGGCGTGCAGCATGGCGCCACACGCCCGCGGTCATTGCCGCATTCGTTTTCGCATGGCTGGTGGTGCGGCCAGATTCATTTCCCTTGTATTTGCGAGCTGAGCTGTGCTGGCCGGGCGCCAAGCAGTCGTGGGTCGTTATCTTCGCTTGCTAACTCTATTCAGCCCTCCAGCCTGCGCCTCGAGCATCGGTGCCGTATCTGAAGCGCTAGAAGCAGCGGCGCATGGGCGCAAACCCAGTTACCACGCTATCAAAGCGCGACCCGCCCGTCTGTTGAGACATGATTATCCACTATAGATTAGACAGCCTGCTCCCTTGAGCTGCCTCTTGCAGTCCCGCCTGCTCCGGTTCTGCATCCATCTTGCACCGTACAATCTCACCCATAGCAATGATAATGTCGAATCTGTCCCTCTTGACCCAACCACAAAGCACATCCACCGAGCCATTCCCCCCCGCCGCCCTCGCAAAGCCACCCAGACCAGTCTCTGCGCCTTGTCCAAACTTTTCAAAGCCCATAGCAGCCGACCCTCTACCGGCAACCGATTCAAAGTCTGTCAGCGCCGACCAAGTCCAGGCCAGACTCAAGGCTCACCGGAGATCCGTCGGCGCCCATGAAGTCCAGGCTAGAATCCAAGCTGCAAGAAGGAGCCTGACTGCTGCACAACCCCCGACTGAAGCTTTCCAACGCAAACTCGACCAGTCTCCCGACCTCATCCACCCAGCCTTGCGCGCTAGGAGCGGAGTGACGCCAAATGGCGACCGTGCTCGTAGCCTCAAGTCGAGAAGCAAGCAAGATCAATCCATCGACGCAGTCATACGCCGCTTGTCTGCCGAGATCGATAGTGGACAGCTGAACCTCGCGAGAGATGTGCCTCCAGTGCCTGCGTTGCCCGCATTCCACTCGCCTGCATCCGGCCGTCCGCGATCATATCAACCCGCAAGTAGCAGGTCTTCTGTGACGAAGAGGCGAAGCCCGCTTTCGATTGTGTCATCTGCAGACGGTATGTAGGGCAAACTCAATTCTACGCGTCATGTTGGACTGACAGTTGCAGACTCCGAGGAAACTCCATGCCATACCTCAGGACAGACGTCGACGCAAACATCCAGGCAGACATCGAGGCGAACCTCTACCTCAGCCTCTTCTCGTACGCACCCTATTCCTGCCAATCTATGAAATTACTTACACGCCACACAGAAACCTCCAAATCCGACGACAGCAACGACCTAGATGATGACGACAAGCCCGCAAAGATCCGAGTGATTAGTCTGGAATCCCACAAAGCAGGCCACGTCCAACAGCAACAACAACAATCCGCACGTCAGTCGTCGCCTTCAACATCATCATCATCACCACCAACCATCTCCCACTCCAAACCCCAACGAGTTAAGAGCCGCAGCCCGTGGCACACAATTTCGCGACGACGAATACTTTGCTTTGTTTAACGACTACCCATCTTGCACCATGTTTTTGTTTTGTTTCTCCATGTCCATGTACATACAAGTCCGCGTGGGCCACAAAGATATATTTCCTTGAGTGTTTCTTTTGTTTTTACGGTCATAGCGGCGCACAGTATACTCGGCCTTGTTTTGGCGCCGGTTTGGTTTCTGCATCATGAGCCTGTTGGATTTGAGCGACTACAGGGGGGCATAAATAGCGCGGGAGTTTTGGCGTTTTCCTACGTGTTCCAGTAGGCGAGATTACTGAGCGTTTTCTGTCGCCAATGCTGACGACTAGCTACACACATACATAGATAGCACGCACGCACGCAACAATGCACATGTCGGCAATTGCACAACCCGCATTGCCTCGCTTAACGCAGTTGTTCTCGACATAAGCCTTGATAGCGCTTTCGGAATATTGGCGCAGCTGAGAGCACACAATCAGTAAGTACGTGTCCCCTGTTTTGGAATTCGGGCATGCTAGGGCCATGCAAGCCACCAGCCACACACGGGACGCCTTCCGAACCCGGTCACAATAATAGCATGCTGCCAAATCCAGCCCGACGATGGGCCAATTGTAGCCAGAGGCACCATGACAGCCGCCTCGAATAGGTTAGAGGTTGGTGTCAGGGTGCGGCGTTCCCGAGCCCATCGCGAGGCCAGGCAGCCACGCAAAGGAGAACGTGCTCACGGCTGCAGCTCGCTAAGTTTGAGAGTATCCAAGTGCGTATCCAGCTGGGCCTGGAAAGGGCATGTTTGGCACCAAAGCATCGGCAGTTGGGCCCAATGCCGAAACGCTTTCCACATGGTCTGCCGACGAAAAAGCACACAAAAAAGTCCCTTGGACGCCGTGCATGTGGGCGGAAACTGGTTCGGGGTCTCTGACGGCGGTGCACGCACAACACAAGCTAACTAGCACATGGTGCCGACTGCGCGACCCGCTTGAACGTCCGTTGAACGTCCGCAACAACGTTTGGCCTAGCGGTAAAAATCTCCTTTCCACGAGCTCTCGATGCGCCCAGCAAATGGGTACGTGACACCTTGAGAGTTGACTCGCTAGTGATTTGTCAAACTCTCCACCACTTTGCCGAGCACACATCAGGAGGACTACTGGCAGACAAATAGATAGCGCCATGTTCCCCATGACCTGGTCTAGAGCACTATAGCCGGGGATTAAATTGGCTAATTCTACGGTCCCAGATTCGCGACACACCAGGAACCCTGTAGCACGTCATGTCCAGGAACCAGTCAGTAGTGCATTACGACAACCGGATTTGATCAGAATGCGACTAAGACTGCCATGGCAAATCCAGCAAGCCATGAATTGGCATCATCTCATCTATCTCGGGCCATGTGTAACTTGAGCATAGAAGGAAAACAGGACATGCTGCTGATACGAAAGCGACTGCAGCCGCCCCACCACAGCTGCATGGTCAGCCCTGTCCGCCGCACGAGCCATGAAAATCCCGAATGCTTGGTGAGAATCACTACTTCCTTACTTACAGCGAGATGCACAGACCGCCCTTGGGCCTGCTATCGATAAGGCTTGGGAGCTTGGCAACCGTGACTGACTGGAGCTCCTTCCTGTCATACTCCGCCCTCCATCCTTACCTCTCTTGTGTCTCAACACGCCACCATGAACCCGTCAGAGCGCACAAAAGAGGCGCTCCTCGGTATGTTTCCCCAGTCTTTCCCCGCACAGGCGTGGGGCTAGTGTAGCAACACAACCTGGCCGCCCAAGTCATCATATCCCCCCAATACCTCGAATCGAGTCCTTACTGATGCTACCTCAGCAAAGACAGAAGCATTATGCAAGTCCATTGTGGACAATCGTAGAGATGACCCCTGGGGCGGCGATGGCTATCTATCTACTATACTCCGGACTGTCAAGATGCACGAAGCCACTGAATACTCCTCGGTACTAAATAAGACCGAGTATGAGCCTGCACTGGATTACTCAACCTCGGCACACAAGGAGCTACTGATCAAAGAACAAAGCGCTGCATTGGTAGGTCATGTGCGCGTGATTTTGCTCAAAGCATTGCCCACAGTTGCTATCCTCGCAAACAGTGCAACCAATGCTCTGCTAACACCAACGGATAGATTAAGACCGCCCAGGACATCTCGACCCTCATCCGTGATTTACAGGAACTCTGGCTCTTCGGTGGCCTTGATACTCTCGCCGATCCTGCAGATGAAGAGGCAAACCGCAAGAAAGCTTTAGCGGTTGCGGAGATGATTGAGACTTTAGCAAAACAGGGGCCTGCTGACGTGCGAAAGAACGACGCTGGCCTAGTCAAAGAGGAATCAAACGGCAGAGGAGAGTCATGAACGTGGCAGCATTTATACTCGATTGGGTAACCCGTCAAAGTCAGTACGATGAGAAAGCGATCCGAGAATGCGCTCTACACTCCGAGAAAAAAACACTTGCATTGCGGGGCTATAGAGTCAACACATAGCCGCATGAATGTGTGCCTCACGGAACAGCTTTCCCTAACTAAAAAGCAGCTGCCGTTACGAATGGCCTATAGACATAAATGGGTAGTATGGTGAACGGAGTGACCTCCCAGTGGCCAAGCTCATGTTACCTCACAACAGCCCGCTACCATTGAACTAGCCATACCATCATTCTTTCGAGGTGAAACAGCCATCTTGAAAGGCATGGTGGCTGTTATTGATATTGAAATGCAAATCTTCTGCTTAGTGCTTTTGAAGGGTTATTGAATCAGATGAGATACTAATACATCAACTACAAATCTAGCGTGCATTCATCCACAACATGGCAAGCTTCTGAAACAGATTCCTGTGCTTGTGTATTGCCCAAACACTTTATTGTGGCTCTGACATCATATACACCTGTTAGCCAGGCCGTTGGGAAGAGGTTAAAGTTCTCGGGTCCAGGCTAGTGAAGGTGTGTCAGGCCGTCCCCCTCTTCCCTCCCCCTTTAGACCGGATAAGGGTTAGACTTGATCGGTTGGGACTTGCACTTGTCGCCCGCGGGATCTCCGGTGAGATGGACCTTGTTCCGGTGCTGATGTGACTTGTTGTTGAGATCCAGAAGTAGCTCCGTGGCGTTTGTGGCTGCTCGCAAGATAGGGATTGAATGGGCATG